CCCCCCCCCGGCCCCGGGGGGGGGAGCCGGTGCCGAGAGATCAGGAGGTGCGCCAATCTGAGCCAGCGCCGAGAAAGTAATCGGCGCCGAGACCAACCGGGCATCATTCAAAACGCAGGCAGCAACCTACACGCCAGAGTGAGCAGCCAGCGTCAACGCACCAGCACAGCTCTATCACACCGACCTCTGCGGAGCCGGTTCCAGCGGCCCAACAAGTTGGTGCATTAGGAGAGGATACGGCACTGCCATCCCCAACCTCGGTGCCTAGGTCGCCACACCTTTTAGGAGATGTATCGGACTCTGCCTCTGTCATCTTGGTCCAGGGCAGCCCAGTCTCAATGGCTCCTCCACCTAAGAGTATTCTTACTAAGGCACAGAGGAAAACACACCACGTCTGCACACCTTCCTCCAGCCCGGGAAGAGCAGTCTTCTCTCCTGAGCCATCTCTCTCACCTCATCACAGGGGACGACATTACTGCAGTCAATCTCTCACTCGGCACTACTGGCGATTCCCGAGACGATCTTTCTCACCATGTTGCCACCGCTCATACTATTCGAGGTCTCCATCTCGCTATTCCTGTCGCTCACGATCCCCACGATCACCCTCCCGTGTGTATTATCACCATCGCAGGAGCACCACCTCACGTTCACCCGTCTACTCGCACCACGATTATCACCATCGGCAAGACACCTCGCACTTTCGTGACCGCTCATGCTCTTCCATAAGGCTTTCTCAGCCCTTGTCTCCACATGAGCATCAATCATATTCACCACAGCCAGAAACCCAAGAGTCCATCCCACCAGTGCAACGCCCTCCAATGCCTACTTGCGACGCTTCACATGGAGGTGCCCCTCAATCCCCTGTGACAGACCAGCAACCCACAGGTTCCCCGACGGACCTCTCCTCTTCCTCCCCAGATGATGCGGTTTTTAATGATGAGCTCTCTTTGGTGGATGATTATAAACAATTTCATGAGCTTTTTAAAAGGGTTGCCTATTCCCAGAATCTACATACCTCGGAAGCACCCCAGAAGCAGCACACGCTCCTCAGGAATCTTCAGCAATCCAGCAAGTCAAAGCTGGCCCTTCCTTTCGATGTGGCGATCCTCGAAATCTCTAATGACATCTGGCAGACTCCGGCATCCGTGCCTCCTACAAACAAGCGCACGGATAGGAAATACTTTATTGATGCTAAGGATGCGGAATTTCTTTTCATCCATCCCGCCCCCAATTCCATCGTCGTTGAGGCCGCCCAACAAAAGGCGAAGTCTCCACAATCCAGAAATTCGGAGGGGGACAAGGAAGCGAAGCGTCTGGACCTCCTTGGCAGGAAGGTCTATTCTTCTGCTACGGCTACCCTGAGAATGGCCAACTATTCCGCCCAGCTTGCTAACCACAATTTCGACAATTACTCTAAGTTGGCCCCCTTCATACATCATTTACCGGAGTCCAAGAGAGAGGTACTAAAATCTATCGTGCAGGTGGGCTACATAGCGGCCCACACCACTCTCCATATCTCTCTTGATATTGCTGATTCAGCTTCCCGCAGTACGGCGACATCTATCGTCATGTGACGTGCCTCTTGGCTGCACCTGGCATCCGTGCCTAAAGACCTACAACCCAAGGTGGAGGACCTCCTTTTCGATCGTGCCTCGTTGTTTGCACAGAACACTGATCAAGTGTTCCATTCGGGAAAAGACTCCCGAACTACGTTGAAAACCCTTAGCATGTATACCCCGCCTTTCAGGCGCAAGAGAGCTTGGCCCTACAACAGGCAGAGGCTTTAGACCATATGAGCAACACAAGCAAAGGCAGCGCCCTCAGCAACG